AGGAACCGAAAGAATAAGGGAAAGAAAAGTAACATAAAGAAGAAAAATAAGGGAAGTAATTCGTTGACGGAAGGAAAAGAAAAGCATCACATAAATTTAGGGTGAATCCATTCTATAAATATAGCTTAAATCAAATAGAGCTCTTGCCCTCAAAACTACAATAATTCATTCCTTGTTAAGAAGCATGGTTCCTAATTTGGTACAGCCCGTTCCATATGTAAGAATGGCACAGTCTCCACTGATTAATCATCTAAGTGCATAGAATAGACATGGTTCTTTGTTAATATTTTAACTGCAGCGAACTTCATTTAACAAGACTTCTATATTGCTTAATTTTCTTTTTGTGGAAAAAAAATATAGCTTTATATATGGTTATGTATTTTGTACAGACTAATGCAACAGCATCTCTAAATGTGATTATACCTGAGGTTCTTAAAGAAGATAATTATAAAAGGTGGAGCATTTTAATGCGACACTATTTGGTGGCTCAAGGCCTTTGGGATGTTGTTCTATCAAACCAAATTCCATGGAGTGAAGATACAGGGGACTGGACTAAAAAGAATGCTTTAGCTCTGCTTGCAATTAAGATGTCATGTGGAGCAGAAACGTTTGATCAGATTGAGGAGATGGATTCGGCCAGAAATGCATGGAACGCATTGGCCGATTTGCATAAACCACCAAATGTAGACGGCCACAGAGGAAGTGAAACTGATGCTGCAGGTTTGATTTCCAGCGCCAACTGGATTCAACCAGGTTTATTCTTTGTTGTTTATTTTAATGGCAATGCTGTTATTATAATATTATGTTGGATTATAAAATTATAATCTTGATGTGTCATTTAATGAGTTGATACATATATAATATTATAAATGCGTCTTAAATAAAAAGTATCAATTATATATTAACAAATTATAATCATAAGTTTAATGTTATTTGATATTATAATTATATTATTTTTGTGCTTATAAAGAAACAAAAAACCATATCATTTTCGTTATTTAATGCCATATAATAATCACTCTTTTAGCCTCGCAACTTCATCCATGCTCATATAGTCTAAAGCCTCGTTTTGGTTGGAGTAATGACCTATGCTTTGGTTTCATCAAATTATAAAAATGAGGAAAAATTGAGAAATTCTTTAAGAAATTATAAACAGAGACAGGTATTCCTTAACATAATTATTTTATGCTAAATTAGTATATGATTAAGGAATATGTATTATTATTCCCCATAAGGGAAAGGAATGTGTGTTTCTTGCTTTTTCTCCTAATCTTATAATTAATGAAAATTAATAGTATCTCTATTGTTTATTTTTTTTAACAGCAATAGTATTTCTATTCTTAACTTTCAAGTTCTTCAATTTTAATTTATTTTCATAATTTGATAGAGGAATATCCGTTACTCATGATCTAATTAAGGGTACTTTATGGGTTATGGGTGTGTGCTTTTTACCAAATTAATTCTTTTATTCCATCTTTGAAAATAAAAAAGTCAAGGAAACCTTGACAGGGATATTATTGGGCAACTATCAAAGGGCTGATGAATTTGTGAGCTTACTCAAGGACATCTATGCAGGGGATTGGAATGCCCTAAAATCCTTAGACTATATAACTAAAATAATTTTTCCTAGCGGTTTCACTGTTCTGCATATCGCAACTATGGCTGGTCACTTGAAGATTGTCAATGAATTGGTCAAGATAGCAAGAGAAGACTACTTGGAAATGCAGGATGACAATGGTGATACA